CTGTTCATGCACCTGCTACTTATACACCACCATGCATGAGGAGACATTCTTCTTCAAGGCATTCACTGCCACATTCTGTTCCACCAGCTGTTTGAGCAGCAATCAAAGTCGAGCTAATGACTTTAAACAAACGCTTGGTAGGAGGCAATCCACTGGTAAGTTTTCATTTTCATGTACTTAGTCTAGTTTTCGTTTCCATAAAAAAAAACTAAAAACATGAGAAAAACCACAAAAAAGTCAGTTTGTTCAGTTTGCTTTGATGAAGTTTTGTGAACTTGTTGAACCATGGGTTATGCTTCGTTTGGATGTTTTTGATGTGTGTTTTGAGTGCTCTAACAGTCTGACTTCAGAGTACACATGATGGCATTGCATTAACACATCCAACATGATGATTCTGTAGTATCAGAGTGGTGACGATTGTCACCACAGTTGGGTGATGCTCGTTACCCGTTTCTTCGCGAGGTACCACTTTTCACACTTGGTTCTACACGTTCACTTGCTTCTTTTTGACCAACTCTTGGCTTAATAACACCAGGGACAATGTTGTTTAGTCTGGGGGAGGTGGCTACTGACGTTGTGTGTATTTTGTTTTGTTTTCAGAGTCTAAAAGTTGAGTCTAAAACCTATTTTATAGAGTCAAAATTTTGAAACTGTCATTTTTGCTTGGAACTAACCACAAAACGTTTATGCTTATAATAACCATTGCCACAATAATTGAGTACAAGTCTTACTAAGTTGAAAGTCATAGGTAGATCAGTCTAGCAATGAAGGTTTAGGTTCTTAGAGAATCTGGAAAATTTGTTGTTAGCTCCACCTTAATGAACTTTAAACTTCTTATCTTGGGGTTTGATTCTCATTGATCTTGATTCTCTCTTTTAACACTGACAAGGATGTTTAGATACAGTCTCTTTTTGATCTTCCCTGATACAGCTTTTAAGAGTTTAAGTCCATAGAATAGCGCATTTATGACCTTGTCTCCTTACAAGGAACAACAGTAATGAACACTCAATAACCTGTCTCCTCACAAGGAACACAAGTATTGAGTAGCATCATATCTTAGACTGTTAAAAAAAATAAGAAAAGAGTTTGAAAATCGAAAATATCCAAAGGAAAAGAACAAGGGAAGAAAAAATAGGAGAGCTGTGTTGAGATTGCTTTGTTCAGTTGTTTGGGAAGGGAAATGAATATGTAAGTGATTGAGATGATAAAACCTTGATGAGATATAACATTTAGATAAAAATAAGGAGTTAAGAGTAGACATTTCAGATTTCTTGAAAGGCTTGAACTGGATTTGAGAGGTTTGCTAAGCTTGTGATGATTAGACTGAAATTTGATTTTGTCTTGACTCTGTGGTGTGTGGATTCGAAAGTGTTAATCAATGTGGTGTTCCTCATGTTTAGCTAATTGTTTCTGTTTTCAAACCTCGACTGTTTTCTCTGTTTGATGTTTGCTTGAGGGCAAGCAAAAGCTAAGTCTGAGAGAGTTGATATACCATGGTTTTAATGGTTTTTAATCATGGTATAAGTCCTTTTTATTGAGTCTTTTTGTCTTTTTAGAGTTTTAGTAGTATTTGAAGGTAATAGCACGACTGGAGCACAATTGGAGGTTTTGGAGCTTTTTGGATCATTGCAAGGATCAACCCCGAAGTTAGCAGCTCAGAACCTTTTTCCTGCAGTGGGTGATGCTCGTCACCACTTATGGGTGACACTCGTCACCCACCCCTGAAGAGAAATCACGACTTCTATTAAAAGATGAAAAGGAAATTGCAGTTTTAGCCCAGGAGTTCCATTATTTACAAGAAGACCCCAGCTCGTGTTTTAGCTTGTATATTGAGTTTTTCAGCCATTCTTTGGCATATATATCTTGCATCTTATTTTCTAGAGAGTTTTAGAGAGAGATTTGTAGAAAAGCTTTTGGAGAGACAAATCAGACTCCTTCAGAGGAGATTTCGAACTCATTTATCTGTACTTCTTATTTCTTTTATGCAATCTATTTTATTCATGATTTTTTCTCAATTCACCATGTCTGAGTAGTTTGTTAGTTAAGTTAGGGCTATTTAAAGGTTGATGAAGAGTTTGTAGAATTGCTAAACTAAAATAGGAAATTCATTGGTTCTTCATTTATACTTGCATTCACATCGATATCTTAGACACATCATCTGGATTTCGAAACCCTATGTTATTTAATAGATGTGAGAGCATTATTGATTACCTGAACTAGTATTAGATGAGCAAAACACCTTAGTGAAAAGTGATTTGGTTTTGGAGTTTTGTGAACAATTAAACCTGATCATTACTGCATGTTTAGGTTGTTAGAGTTTGCAAAGAGATTTAAAACTCTGTGATTTAGACATAGATAACTTCTGCAATGAGAATTGGTTAGTTATATCTTTATTTTTCATGTTTTGTACGATTTTAATTCATTCCTGATTGCATGCATTCTACACTCTTGGATTCAGTTGTCCTGACTTAGCACCTTTAGCTTTCTGAACTTTATGAACAATCATAAAAACGCCCGCTTGCTTTTATTTTGCTGTTTCGCATTACATTCATTACTTATTGATTAGCTTAATCCGAACCTGAACTCTTTAGTGTAGTTAACTTACTCCCTTGGGATTCGATAACTCCTTATATTATAACTGCATTGCTGTGCACTTGCAGTAGTTTTATTTGGGTAAAACCTTAGCCCTATCACATCTGAAGAGGAGTCGCGACTTGTTTTAAAAGATGGAGAATAAATTGCAACTTTGGCCCAGAAGTTTTACTAATTGCGAAAGTGTTTCAGCTCGTGTTTTAGCTTGTATATATTGGGATTTTAGCCATTGCTGGCTTTTATCTTAGATTTTAGAATTCACAGAGCTTTAGAGAGAGTTTTGTTCAGAGCTTTTGGGGAGGCAGATTCTGTACTCTTTTAGAGAAGATTTCGAACCCTTTTATTTTTTACTTTATTCTTTAAATGCAGTTTTATTCAGTTATGCTTTGTGTTTCAACGATTATGTCTGAGTAATCTGTAAATTAAGTTAGGGCTTTTCAAAGGTTGATGAAGAGTTTTATTTGGGTAAAACCTGAGCCCTATGAGATGTACGAGATTGCAGTCTGGGGCCGTGCGCTGCATAACGATTCATTATGCGGTTTTGAGTCTAGAGACTCTGGCCATTTAGCCTTTGTGGCTATGGTCAGAATGGGCAATATGTGACTAGGTGTGGATGGGTGATGTAAAATGTACGGAATTGCCATGGCGAGACAAGTAAAGTATATTTGAATATGACTATGCATCTTATAGTATTTATGCATATGGTATAGCTTATGTTGCATTTGTTGGTATTATGATTGTGTGATTTAGTGCTGCTTTTTATTTTTGGGTTATGGGAATTGAATATTCGTATAGGGGGACCCCAACTCACTAAGCAAAGTAGGTGCTCACGACTCGACTTATTTGGCAGGTAACCAATAGTGGGAAATCATACGGGCTGAGGGAGCTTAGGACAAGCATGTGTAGTTTGCTGCCTTTTGTAAGAACAAGCATGTGTTTACTATGTATAATAAGGTTTTGGGCGTTGAGATCCTGACCTGATATCTATATATATATATATATATATATATATTATGGTTACACTTGGAACAAAAGAATTATATGAATAAGATATATTTGTGAAAATACTTGAGCTTCGATCATGTGGTACTAGTCCTTATCCGGGACGAACTAACTATGGGATGTGCCTGAGGTTGAAAAATCTTGAATCATGTTTAATAGGTAAATGTGTTCGGATGTTGGGTCTAGGGTCTCTGGATTTGTTTTAGAAACCTCAGACTGGACATTTGAATACATATTGTAGCATATTTGGTCTAGTTTGGAGTTGGATGGTTGGCTGTGCATGTTGTTATTTAATTGTTGTGTGGCTGATCGTCTGAAATTTGACTTTAGGTCAGACTAAGGGCATTACCGGGAGGGAAGGGGGTAGAACTCTCTTAAGACTCGTAGACTATAGAAAAAAAGACAATCTTACCTCTCAAGACCCATTCTCCGGACGGGTTGGAATGGATATGGTCAGTTTGGAGACATCAGGTATAGGCTCTTCGACACCTCGATCAAGAGGATTATAATATGGCGAGGCCTTTAAGGATTCCTCGGATGATCCGCATCTATTATCGGCATGATCTATCTCTTTTCTCATGCAGAAAATAGATGAGGATTAGAACAATCGACCGACAACCCGACTAACCGACAACCTGACTAACCGACTCCTTTTCCTTGTGAATGGTGATGTTGTATTTATACTATATTGATCATGTTTCATATTGGCTTTGCATGTTTTGCTGAGTAGGCCTTCTCTCTAGGGAGTTGTTTACTTACTCCTGCACTGAACTCGTGCAATTACTTGGAGTGTCCGTTATGTTCCAAATGCTATCTATCGGATTAGGTTTATTAAATCTCCTATTGAATGGGTGTTTCTGCTGCTATAAAAAATTAATATTCGGAAAATCGATCCCACCAACTAATATAATATTTTACAGTCACCTGAAAGATAATAGTCTAAAACCCGATTTAGGTAATTCTGAAAACGATGTATCTGTTTCTTGACTGGTACATTTATTTTCTTGGTGACTCTAGCCGCTTTTTCCAATTTTTTGATGGGTCTACAACAGAGGAGTCGTAGTGACAAAGGAGGTGGTTCGGGTTGTTTTATTTTTTAACTTTAAAGGGGTTGTTTAAGAAAGAAGAACAGAGTATCTAAAAAAAATTATTTACATTTTTTAAAACTGTCTTTTAAGCAGTTTTATTTATTGTCATAACATTGTCTTAGTTAAGAAATTATATTTATGCATTTTCCATTTTTTTTTCAGATGTGGTTTGTTTTCTTGATCATTGTGCACAAACTAATTACTATACTAATCATATGATAATTTTGAAAGAAACTAGTACATGCGATCATGACGAGACAAAACGTATTGACGATCACCAAAGTCTTCCAACACATAAAAATCTATTATTCAACACCAGCGGACAAACTCATTATGAAGTGGTTAAAAGATTATTTTATCAAAGTGAAATACGTTTCTCCAACCAAACTTTATTGAATCAAAGTGAAATATGTTTCTCCACCAAAGAAGAAAATAGTTATCATATAGTCACATACACAAAGGTCTAATATGTATAGCCATGATAGATAATGGTTATCTACCATCACTGATCTCGACTCCAAGCGTTAGCTTAAAGTCGCTGTCTCTGGGCGTCACAAAACTCGTGGAGCAGGACGAAGAAGCGCCTATGTCTTTAGTTTGAAAGACGTTGAAAGTGGAGCTTGAAGTGTCATCAAATCTCCAATCGGTTAGGTAGCCTGGCTTAGAGGTTACATCACTGACGTCAACATCTCCTGAAAGCATAGCCATCACTCTTGACATCGGTGGTCTCAAGGAATGAGATGACTGTGTACACAGTAGAGCAATGCGTATCATGCGTTTCACTTCATCCATGTTAAATTCAGTCAGCTCATGATCAATAAGTTCAACTTCACGGCTTTTTTCGTGTAGATTCCATGCCTGTATACACCATATTTGATAGATTATATCGGATTTTGGACGATATCATTTCCAATCAATTTTCTTGACTAACAAGCAATGACGTACCCATTCAAGAAGATATCTTTGTTCACCCTCGATGTTTTCATCAGAGTTTTTCCTTCCACTCACCAGCTCAAGAGCCACAATACCAAAAGCATACACATCCGTCTTCTCTGTTAGGTGTCCACGCATGGCATACTCTGGTGCAAGATAGCCACTTGCATTGGTACAAACAACATGTACGTGTTATAAATAGTTAGTGTTGCATATAAAAGAAGAAGAAGTTGAGGGTTTGGGGATACGTACATGGTCCCTGCCACTCGGGTACTCATGTGGGTTTTCTTGTCATCGTATAGCTTTGCAAGCCCAAAATCAGAAACTTTTGGGACCAGCTTAGAGTCGAGCAAAATGTTGCTGGCCTTCACATCCCTATGTATTATGCGAACACTCGCCTCCTCGTGGAGATAGGCTAGACCTCTGGCTACTCCTCGACATATCTCAAAACGGGTTGACCAATTAAGATTTAGAGTCTTGTCTCCTACTGAAACATCCAAATCGTGGGCATAATGAGTAATTCAGTTTGACAGAGAAGAAAAGGATAAAAAAAAGAATAAGTAATATTACCAAATAGTGCCTGATCGAGACTTCCATTTGGGAGGTACTCATATACTAGCAAACGATTATCTCCTTCATAACAACACCCGTAAAGCTTTACTAGGTTGCGGTGCAGAACAGTAGAAATTGTTATGATTTCTGCAACAAATTGTCCCGTCCCGTGTCGGGATCCAACCGACAACACTTTCACCGCGATCTCTCTTCCATCACTCAGGTTTCCCTGTTGAGAATGTGTTAAAATCATAAAAAAATAATAAAAAAAAAAATCACATGCGTATTTTGTTCATTTTGTTGGTTTGGGGTTTACTTTATAAACAGACCCAAATCCTCCCTCTCCGAGCTTGTTTGAGGGATCGAAATCTTGAGTGGCACTTTTAAGTTCAGAGTAAGAAAAAGTGTAAGGCTTTACGTCCATACTAAGTAGCTCTGCAACAAAAGAAAAATAAATATGAACCAATTTGAAAGATGATGATATTCAAGCTCAAAGCCTTGTTTGTGTTGTTACTATTACCTTCATCATCTGAATAACGCTTATTGCTTTTTCGGATGATGAAAATAACCACGCCTACAAAGATGCTTAAAAGCCCTAGGCCAACAATAGCACCCACAATAGTACCCGTCCTATACTTTTCCTTTGATGGTAGCCTGTTACCCACAGTTGGTGTAAAATCTGAACAATAATACATGTAAAAATTAGGTATCAGGAGATTAATTTTACAAAAGGAATAACAGTTTTTGTGATACCTGGTTTTGCACTGACGGCCGATATTAGTGGGCCAAAAGTACCTAGGATAGGAACACTAAATGACCCTTTGCCAGCCCAGAAAAGATGAATTTCGAGGTAATTTTCTGATACATTTGCTTTGTACTCTCTCTGAACTGCTTGGACAGTAGTGTCACCAGCTGTTCTGCGTATATCAAAATCTTTTTCAACAAGTCTTCCCTGGAAAGAAAATGGAACTAGGTCTCAGAATTCAGCAAGAAGATTATTACACCAAACACAAGTTAACTTGTAATACGGTAAGGCAGACCTGGACATAAATGTCAAAACGTCGTGTTCCTAAACCTTTCCAGGAGTTAGAACCAAGAATTTGTATTTCAGCAAACTGAAGTGCTACGGTATAGCCTCCATTTTCTAGGCCCAACCCATAATACCTAAGGGAAGATGAAGAATGTCTTGCTGACTGGAAAAGCTCTGAGTCCACAGTGTTGATAACCCATATATTATTGCTACTCCCGGCGAAAATTCCTACACTACTTGCTGCCCATCTCTGAACATCACTCACGAAAAATGAAGCTGCTCCAAGATCCTCGTCCTCCCTCTCAAATACTCTTCCAGTAACAGACTGTATTTGTGGGCCTCCACAGTTGATTGAAAAGTCAGAATCTAGACACACCAGTCAATAAGCAAATCATTTTTTTTCCATACAAACACAGTTGAGAACAAGACTAGTAAAAGAAATTATTCGTCCAGCCATGAAATAGCTACAAATATTCAGTGGCTAGTTAAAAAATAACGAAAAAGCCACGTAGAGACTCATATAGTCACCCAAAAATTAGTCACGGCTCTGTAGTTATGGAGCAAATTTTAGTTTTTCCGTATCGATCTGACTAATTGTTTTCGTGGGTTTTTCGTGGCTGTACACATAATTTTTACTAGTAAGGTTATAATGATATATTTTTGTCACACTTACAAACTCCTTTGCCTCGATTGCAGGGGAAGTTCTTCTGTAAGCACTTCAGTTCTGGTAAGACCCTTTTAAAAATGGTGAAAATATATTTAAAAAGAAGAAGAAAATGAAAATGGAATTTCAGGAATCAACAAAACCATATTTAATAAAATCACCTCTTGTCAAGACCTTCCAAAGTGAAGTTGTTAACAACAAGATTGCTGCACAATTAACATACTGTTTTGTTATGATAAATTCTAATAAATATGTCCAATATATATGAAAAAAAAGACACCGTGAATATATATATATATAAAGAGATATACATAGAGTGTTTTGTTTACTTAACAGTTTCAAGTTTGGTAAGCTGACCCATGAAGGAAGACTACCAGACAAATCATTGTACGAAACATCTCTGAAAATATAAAAAAGAATGATTAGGATCTACAGAATATGTTATATATTCCAATGCAGCAGTTTCCTGATTATCTTGTACAAAACTTGAATATATATCAGGACTTTGTGGCTTTCAAAGATGATCAATTATAAAGGACTTTGTAACTCACATATTGCTCAAAGTCTGGCTCTTTTGAGTAGGCAAAGAACCATTCAACGTGTTGTTTCCCAGAAACCTAATATGAAGACAACAAAAAAAATTCCGCAGTTATTTGGGAAGGTGTACATAAAAACCCAAAAGAATTAAGCAAGAAAACTGACAAGTGAGTAAGTCGACTTAAGGTGAAAAGTGAAGCCGGAATTGGTCCATGTAGTTTGTTGAAGCTTAAATCACTGGAAAACACACACGAAATACACGGCAACAGTAACACATTAAGTTCAATGAATGGGAAAATGAGAGATTGTTTTATCTCTTGGTATTCTGAAACATGTAACGTATATTGTACTTACACTTGTTGTAGACTTAAGTATTCCCCGATAGTAGAAGGTATTGTTCCAGTGAGATTGCTGTTCCTTAATACTCTGCGACACATATCATCAATGTTAAATACACATATATAAGGAGGAGAGGGAAACAGTTCATGAATTGGAGTAAATTGTTTGCCTTACAATATACTTAGAGATTTCATGTCTTTGATGAATTCAAGAGAAGAGCTTCCATTAGATATATCACCAAGACTCCTACATTTAGGACAGGATTATGTGGAGGAGAGAGGGAAATTAAAGAGAAAATAGTAAACAAGAATGATTCTGACACCACATACAGTTCTCTCAAAGCAGTTAGGTTGGAAAATGAAGATGGTATCGGACCACTCAAACCAGTTCCGAGAATTTTCCTGCAGGTAAAACATGGTAGCAATCACTTAATCCCAAAGCTTAAATGGCAAGAAGAATTTTCCACTAAGAATAAAAAATTAAGATAAAATATATAAAACAAGAGCAATATAACAAATACATTAGATTTATATCTCTGTAAAATGAAATCATTCTTACAAGATGGTAAGTTTGGTCCATTTTCCTATAAATTCCGGTATCCGACCAGTAACGTCCAGATCGTTAAACCATCTGGTGCAAACATTCAAGAAGAAATCATCCCCAAAGGTTAAAGAAGAAACAATGCAGAGTAATATAAACAGATTACAAAAATGTAAAAAACCAATGATGAAATTTAACTATATGCGTATTCAATAAAAATAAAATCTTACGCGTCTTCCAGCTGTACAAGATTAGCAAATGATAAAGGTATTCCTCCTCTAAGTCCAGAATTTCCTATATATCTGCATTAAATTGTAAAGAAATGTTTATACTGGACGATTTTGAAAGGTTATTAATTAAGGTTTCATATTGAAATAATACATAAAATTACTTTGTACATTCTCACATTTTCAGTAGTTTTGTACAATTCCCAATCTCAGCTGGTATAGAACCGGAAAAGTTATTTAAACCAATACTTCTGCATGAAGAAAATATATACAACATAGGTTTGATAATAAGAAAACATCAAAAACGGACATTTTGACATTTTTTACCAAAAAAAGTAATAATAAGAAATTTAGTTACAGCGATTTCAAGTCTGTAAGCAAACCAATTTCCTTGGGAAAGGTGCCAGACAACGCATTGACCCCGAAAGTTCTACAGTAGTTGAGAAACAATTGGACTGTGAGAGACAAGAAAAAGAGATTTAAAAAAAAGTATGAAGAATGTTTCATTTAATCAACAGGCTTACATCCACTCCATTCGAGTCAAATTCCCAATTGCAGGAGAAAGGGAGCCTGTAAGATAATTCTGAGCCAAGTTCCTGTAACAGGTGATTTTAAGGTCTCAAGATTTGTGGGAACTATTTTAAACTTGCACTACAAGATATCAGATTTCCGACGAACATGTTCTCCTCAGAAAATTTCGATGGAAATACGACCAGTTTTTGACGAAGCAAACTATGGTCGAAATTTTGTCAGAAGTTTTGCAACGAAAGTATAGCTGTTGGAAATTTCCAATGTATTTTACGAAGGAATTTCGATGGATTTCGTGGCCATTTCAAATATTATAGTAGTTGTTAATTATCCGTTAGAATATTGTCACATATCCATTACAAATATTTAGAAATTCATCAGAAAACGCGCATACTTTTCCTATAAATACATCTCAACCTTGTATATACATGAACAACTACAAAAATAATCTTCCTAAACTAAAATCTAAGAAAATGTCTTTTCCAGATTCTTATTAGTTATTTAATTTGGATCATGGATGGCAAAGTTATCAAATTGCAGCAACGAACTTAGTTATGGAAGAGTACATACAAAATTTGCACTAATTCATGGTATTTTGCGACGTCTATGTAGATGAAATGAAAGAAGACATTTTATTTTAGTGAACCGAAAAATCTTTTTTCTTTGTACTAAAATGTCGGAATGATAGATTACTGATATATATGCAAAGTATGGAATTGAGTTAAAAAATTAAAGAATAATTAAAGGAAAAATATAAGGGCGATGTGGATCAAAGTATACAGATTTGTGAGGTAGATCAAAGTCCAGAGCTGTGGAGGTATAGGTCCTACAACATCTCTCGCAAATACCTTGCTGTGATCGAAAATAGCATTTAGTTTGAGAATAACATCATAATAAATAAAGTAATTAAGAGAAAGAGTTGGGTGTACAGGGCGGTGATGCGACAGAATATGGAGTCTGCGAAATTGCATCCGCATTTGATGAAAGGGTTGTAAGCTTTGTCGTCGATGGTGATGCTCTCGTCGATGGCGGCACCGGAGCAAAGCTCGCCGCTTATATTCCATTCCTTCGGCGCCTGGATTTTCCAAGTCGCGAAGATAGAATTCAAAGCTTGCGCTGTTGTTTACCCACAACAACCGTCAGTTTATTATAAACCAAACAACTTGTAATTAATAATTGATTTCCAAGTGTTCAACGACAGAACGGAGACCTTCGTCGGGATGAGTAGTGGTTCCAGTTCGGTTTTGAGCTTGAACAAGGTTAACCAAACCGTGGATACACAAGAGGAACCAGACGGTGAGGAGCATACACGTGGGCATCGTAGTCGACGGAGGTTTTACTCTCTCTTTATTTGGTTCTGTTACTACACTAAAAGCTTTCTGTGTACATCTCCTTAATATTGTCTTTATTTTTGTTATCTTTCTTGACTTATATTCATTGACTTATATACGTACCAACCAAAACAAGATAAGTGGACCACCATCATATTATCAATAATAATGAATCAATGATCTTGTTATTTTCCATCGGCGGCTGCTTTTTCTTTGATTTTTATCATTTTTTTCGTGGCTCTCTCCTCCATGCTGATAATATTTTGGGAATATCACTTATTAAGAGAGACTTGCGAATATGCAAAGACTTTTGACAACTTGTAGTTTTTTTCTCTTAAAGTTCTTTTTTTTTGGGCCAAATCCTAAAGTTCTTCTGATTAACCTATGTTTATAATCTATTCTGATTTTTTTTAAAAGGTTAGTCAGTTGTTGTAGATTTCAGTATCTAGTTAATTACGATTTCCAAAGCTGGTGGAAGTGAGGATTTTCTTTTCAGAGGTTAACAAACAAAAAACGTTTATGATTTTCTATTTATCACAAGTTGTGCTGTGGTTTATAATTATGATGGTTGATTACCTTTTGTTCCTTATGTGAATTTACTTTAATTATTTTTGGCAAGCAAGTTGGGCTGTGGTTATGATGGTTGATTACTTTTTGCTCCTTATATAAATTTACTTTAATTATCTTTAATAAAATTAACAAATTAATATAATCTAATTTTTAATTAATTTTCATTTTTTAAAAAATCTAGATTTTCAAATTCGAATTTGGTAACTAGCATAAATAAAAAAACCCTAATTATTTTATTAAACTAATTTTAATATTATTGTTTAACCTACTAATATTTTAACTAACCTAATTGATTTATGCGATCACAAATAAAACTCTAAATCATTTAAACTCTTTTAAAACTCTATATATTAATTAATATTAAGTTGATATGAAACAAAGATCATTTAGTTTTGGTCATTTTGGATTGCTATATTTTTTTATGAAAACTTTGAATTTCATTAATCTTAATCTACCAATTTACATTAAAAGAAAAGAATTATTTGTCTTTTTTTTGTTCAAAAGAAAAAAAATTATTTGTCATGTTCGATAAATGCAACAAAACAACAAAGCATATATATAAGTTTTTATCGAACAATATAAAAAATACTAAAAAATAACATATAAATAATATATTTTGTTTTGTCACAAAAAAATAATATACTCGTGAAAATTGTATTCTTTTCAAATATATTAAATTTGTTTCAACTCATTAGAAAATTTAATCTTTTTCTATAAATAAACTAATATTATACTTTTTAAAAATTTTAATTGAACTCCGCACAAGGTGCGGAGAAACACCTAGTATACAGTAAATTTCTAAGATAATATTGAGATTTCAAAATTTTATCAATTTATGAAATTATTAATTAATTGATAAACTATAGAAATATTTTTCAGTTTAAATTTTTAGGAAGCATATTAGATCAATGATTTGGTATATAAATAGCATTTGGAAATCACATAAATTTGAGGAAATATTAAAAGAATTGAAGATTTTAATTTTTTTTCCAAAGTTATTATTATAAAATTTAAGGTGATTAGAATGGATTTAGGGATACTATGTAATTATTTGCGCAGCATAAGATGTTATTCTAAATTTTAAATATTTTTTAAAAATAAAAAGTTATATTTTTATAGAGTAAATAAATATTATATTTATTTTTTAGTAAGCCTAAGTTTTATAATTAACCCCTATTTATTTTTTTCATCTAAATGGTTTATTTGAACAATTTTTTTTTTGTAATAAAATCGAAAAACATTCATATGAATTATCTGGATGATTTTCAAAGGTTTGGATAAATATATGAGAATTATCTGGATGAGCTAAATTGGACCATTTGGATGAAGATGTTTCATTTCAAAACAAGAAATGACTAAAATATTCTTAAACTTAAAAAAAAAAAAATCTAAAAAACTCAATTAAATCACATTATTTGCCAAAATCGAGACAATCAGAAAATCATGTTTTTTGACAAAACCACAAATTATGCTGAACATGAAAAAATTGGTAAAATCATTCCAGTAAAATAAAAAAATCGCGTTCTCCAACAAAAACTAAAAAAATATATTTTTCACCAAAATCGAAAATCACGTTTTCCCGCCAAAACCGTCAAATAGTATTTTCCCATCAAAACTGTGAAATTACGTTTTTTCGCCAAAACTAAAAAAACTGTCAAAACCAAGAAATCGTATTTTTCTGTCAAAAATCGAGAAATTGCATATTATGCTAAAATAAAAAAATTGCATTTTTTGCCAAAACCGAGAAATATTATTTTTCAACCCAACAGATTTTGTTTTTAAAAACGTTGTAATTTTGTTTGTTTTTTGAACACTTTTTGATATCTATTATAATTAAGCGTATACCGAAAGAGAAATTGATATGGTTCTTGTATAATTTTTTTTAATCTAAATTATGATCTGTTATTTTTGGTTCAACTCAATAAATTTTAGACTCAAAATCAACTGTTTTACCTTTTTGTGATTATATACAAGGCATAAAGCTGTAAGACAAAATAATGTAAGTTTCTCTTAACTAATCAAATCAAATTCAACATGGGATCAATAGGGATCTGTCTGGATGCAAGCCTTTCACCCATAGGGAGGGCTCCAAGAGCTGCCTTTCAGATGAAGAGTTTGAGCTTTGGTGATGTATTCAGAGCCCAGATTTTCGGTATCCAATATACTCCCTCATTAATTCCATTAATGGATGCAAGGGGGTTTGGTTCTATGGCTGAAAGGTACCCTATTTTTGTTGTGTAGGACCCTGACTTGTGCCTTAGCTAGATTCTTTTATCCGGACAGCCTTCATTACTGGTCTTTATCTTCAGGATGGACTCTTCATGGGCAGGTAACATTTCACGGATTCTCTCTCTATTCCATTCTGTTAAGTTTGGGTGAAACATATCAGCAACTAGTAATTGGCTTGACTTTGATGGTGCAGGTCCCATTGGAGCTTCTCTTGATTGACTGGATAACCAGGGATCATGCCATATGTTGACTGAGTTACCATTACCAATTGTTCATCATGTATGTTTGGCTATACGATCTCTGGCAATAAGTATTCCTCTCCAGCCATGGGAGCAAGTTGCTATTGCTTTAGAGAAGATAAAACTATCAAACCCGCCAGCTAAGCTTGGTAACGTTGCATCATTAAAGCTTTGTAAATCTCAAAAGCCAAGCCCTCCTCCTTTTTTTTTACTTTGTTAGAGTATCCCACGCTATAAGGGATGTCAAACGGGCTAACCCGCCCCATATGATCCGCATCTTTGCGGGCATTCTTTTTTTTCGAACTGCAGCAGGTTGATCGCACGGATCGCGGTTCACTTCTACCATCTCTATACCCGCCCCGCCAAATAATACGGTTTATGCGGACTAACCCGTGGGTCTGAGACAGAACAAGAACCGTCCATACGGTTCTGAGATTACTTGCCGTTTAACTGGGTAGAACAACAGAGGAAGATTGCTCTGTTCTGAAATCAATTATCCAAAAAACAAAATGCTCGTCTTGCAAATTTTCTCGATACTTGACTGTCCTAATTAGAATACAGATTCTCATACTAGAGTTGTTTATATATCATATGTGCTTAGTGTATGGTTCTTACCTTTTTGGGAACGACCCATTTATCAAGACAGTCTAAAGAAATAGTAGCTGATCTCATGACAAAACCAAGCTCATCTCTGAAAGATTCAGTGGGTAGTGACAATGGATATTAAATGCTTCACCAATTGTAATATCAAATTTTTTTTTTTCTCAACTATCAAGTTCGTCATTTTTTTCTCACATTTGGCTTCACCTAAAAGCTCTCGTCAATAATAGCTTGACCATTGCTTTACTCTGGCTTACACATTTGTATGATCTTTCAGTCTCTAATGAGAGAGATTATCTGAATTTTTGCAGAAGTTGCAGGTTTTATGTCATTAGAACTGCAGGTTTTCATAAAAAGTTGAAGGTTTTGAAATTTTGTGTTTTTGCTTCTTTTTATACCAGATCACAACTTTAAGTGATCTTTAATTTCTGAAATCATAACATAGTAAGAACATCCATTGAGCCTCCTATAAGGAGAGCTAAACTCCTAGTAGCACAACCTCCTCTTTCACTTCCTGCGTTGCAAATTCCTTTCTCCACAAAAAAAGTCTTTATCGTATCTGTGGAAGTCTATTCCGGCTAACTAAACTGCAACTGTGCCTTCACTACATCCTCTACAGTTCGTTTTATACTTAGCCAAAATTTTAAACTTATTCTCTTCATTCATCAATACACAGCGGATTCAAAATGACTTCATTTCATTCCATTAATAAAGCACTTAAACAAGATTCGAGGTTATCTTAAAACAAATCACAAGGTTCGCTAACGATTACAACTGATCATCTAGCAACCTAAACGGTCAAACACCAAAGCCATAAGACAAAAGACACGTCTTAAATCATAAAACACCCAATCCCGATCCATCCATGTTCATTACTGCCGCCGGTCTCGCTTCACTTACTGCTTAGATCATGCACACTCAAAAAGAGAGGCATAAGTATTTGATAAATACTTAGTGAGTACGGTCATCTCGTAACACCTGGTCAGTACCATTCACGCATTCATACTATCCCATTCAACATCCCACACAATCAATTCGCAATAGGCATAACATATATCACCACGATCATCTAACCTAACCACCCAAGATCAATCCATTTTTAAGACCCATGTCTACTTCAGCGAGAATCCCACATCCCCTAAGCTAGTACATGATCCGGATTATCCTGAGGTTAGCTAGACATCATTTATGCCACGGTAAACACCTCACAATACCATAACACATAATCGCTTTAACAGTTCTAAACACACAACATGAAAATCACACAATCAAACATGCAAAACATCAAACCTTAGCAATCCAACGATCCTAGACACCAACCACAGTCATGCACTCACCTTAGACAAGGTTGAAAACAGATTGGTCAGAAGAAATCCTGATGAAATCCGCGTGGAAATGAAGATATCCAACAACCCTAAGAATCTCTCGGCTCGCGGTACGATCCGATCCATTTTTCTTCGGCTATCTCTCGATCCGTTCACCTTTCTCCGAGC